TCGCACTCTACCATCCTCCCCGGATAATACATTAGTCACCCTTCCAACTAACCACTGCCCCCTCGGAAGGTTATGATCTATAATAAGCACTACTGCTTCACTGTGGAGATTTTCAGTCTCCTTCCACCATTTTTGTCTTATCTGTTGTGCTGAAAGGTAATGACGGATAAACTGTCGCCAGAAATGGTCCATCAACACCTGACTATGTTTCCATCACTTTTTCGTCAGTAAGTCATTTTCAGTATACACTACTTGAGGCATGGTTGGGTCCAGCCGCCCCTATAACAGAACATTTGGCGTGACTGGGTTTACGTCTCTTGGATCTGTTGATGTGTAGCCTAACGTTCTAGAATTCAGAATTCCCTCAACTTCGACAAGTGTCAATAGTATTGGTTCAGTAACCAATTGTTCGCCAATTGCTACCTTCAGGCACTCTTAACACTTCTGACTGCCCTCTCCCACAGTCCTCCGAAATGTGGAGCGTTTGGGGGATTGAAATGGAACTCCAACATTTATGGCCAATGTTCTTCTCGAATATTAGCAGTCATCAGATCAAAGGCGGCTCTGAGTTCCTTATCCCCACCTTTGATATATCTTATCCGGTTGGCCCTTCCAGGAAATAAACCTACGTAGAGATAACAAAAATGCATCTGTATCCATGCTCTCCAATAGCTCCAAGTGGTTGGCACCAACAGTCATGCACATATAGACTATTCCCCACCTCTTCTCCGTTCTCCTTCCAACTTTTATGTGTATAGGTGCAAAACAATCAATCCCAGTGCAATGGAAAACTGGTTTAAATAGCTGTAGCCGTGAGGCTGGCAGGACTCTCATTTGGGGATTGGATGGATTAGCACGCCAACTTTGACACACTTGACACTTGTCCTGTGACAACTTCTCTGCCTCTGAGAATCTAGTATCTCCTTCTAAACTCTGCCAAAATTCGTTCTGCTTCGGGGTGAAGCAACTTAACATCGGTATGTCGAATAAGTAGTTTTGTGATATGGTGTTTAGGATTAAGAATTATTGGGTGTTTCATTTGCTCCTGACTGGCATTTGCTTCTCGCAATCTTCCTCATACTCTCCGAAGACCAGTATCATTGTCCCATTCTGGACTCAATTGCTTCAGTCGTCTTCCTGTAGGTAATAGGGATCCAGCCTTCAAGGCTGTAACCTCTTCTGAGAAACCACGTAGTTGTACCAATGCTCTCTAGCCTGAGTTAGCAAAGATGGTCCATACTGCCATCTTTGGTTGCTTTAAGGACATGCCTCTGGTGATATCATCTGCCACATCTGCTGTAGGCACATAGTGCCAGTCCATCCCATCGGTTAAGTGCAAAATCTCTGCAACTCTAGTTCCATCAAAAACCTTGAATCTACAGGTTTCTGACGAAAGTACTGTAGTTGAGTCGCTCCAAAGATGCTTTTCGCTTACAGGAATTGTCAAGGTGTTTACGAGAAAGTCGATAAGTTTCGCTCCAAGCAGTGCAGCACATAGTTCTAATCTCGGCATGCTTAATTGCTTTCGTGGGGCAACCTTGGACTTTGCGATCACGAATGCCATCTCTAGCTTACCATCATGCTCTCCACGAAGATAGCTGACTGCTCCATAGACTTTTTCGGATGAATCGCAGAACACATGTAACTGGTACGTGGCATCCTTCAATTCGATGTAGTGTCCCGGTAAGCTAACTTGGCTAATGAATATTAGTTCTGTTCCCATTAATCTAGCTAGCTCGAAGTTCGGAATTGGTTATTTCTTTATCCCACTCAATTTGGTATAGACTCCACAAGGATTGTACTATCAGCTTGCCTCTAACAAGAAAGGGAACTAAAAAGCCAATAGGGTCATTTTGTCATGCTAATGTACGGTATTTATAACGCATGGTGACAGCCTCTTGATGGTCATGGTTTTGACGGTACGTCAGGATGTCAGATCCTGTATCCCAGCGCATACCCAACATGGGTTCTGCTTCGGTAACATCTTGTTTGAACTCTAGTATGCTGTTTTCTGAGAGTGCTTCTTCAGGCAATCCAACCAAGGCCTCTCGTTTGTTGCTGGCCCATTGTCTAATATCAAACCCAGCGGTGTTCAGCAATCTTCTTATGGCATGGATTATTGTCTTAGCTTCGACGGCTGTCCTTACACTGTCCAAACAGTTATCCACATAAAATGCCTCCATAACTGATCTTCTAACTTCTGGATACTGTTCACTGTTCTCGATGGCCAGTTTCTGGAGTGGATATGTTAGGGGCTACAGTTAGATCCAAACAATAGTGATAGCCATTGATAAATAGTAGGTGATCGAGTCTAATCACAGTTTCTCCAGATGAATCGAATGAAAAGATTGGTCACCAGGCTTTACACGTACCTGATGGAACATAGCTTAAATATCACCAGATATGGCTACTTCATGTTGATGAAATCTCATAATTACGCCCAGTAATGACGAACCTAGATTTGGTCCCGCCAGCAGATGCTTATTTAAATTCTGGCCCTGGAATTCATGTGAACAGTTAAATACCAATCGGTTCTTGCCGTTGTGTTTTATAATATAATAGGCATTTTTCGTTTTGACTACGCGGCCAGTTTACTACGAACTAATTTACCGTGACGGCAACGCCAAGACACTGTTCGCGTACTACACCAAGAGCTGTTTTCGTTTTTTAAGGCGACTACGATGACGCAGCACACGTACGTAGGCCTACGGAGGGGAGTTAGTCGACCATGGTTTTATTACCAGGGAACAATTTTCCCTTGTTTTATATTTGAAACCTTTAGTCAAATACTGTATACAAAATAAAAAGTTTCCAGAAAACACTGAGTGATGTTTCACTGTTGGCTAGGATCTAGGCCTAGCCTAGGCCTAGGTGTCAAAAGAGTCGGGAACCGGGAGAAGAGGGGTGTCAGGCATGCTCAAGCAATTTGTCAAATGCAACGATGATGTACAAATAAATGTACATAACAATTTTAAATAGAAGTATTTATATAACAAAGCTTGATCCAAAATATCATGGGCGCAGATGCCCTAGCTAGCGGCACCAGATACCCATTGGGCTTTTTTTCACTATCCCCTGATTTACCTAATTTTATGTTGTGACTATTCATTCCTCATTTATTGTATGTGTATAAATTGGCCTTCATAAAACATTTAATTACTCACTTGTTTTAATAATTAATTCATTATTAAACGAACAAAATGCTCGGTCGCGGATGCGATGAAAATTGCAACCACCAGCAAAAAAAAATACCAGCAGTTTGCCAAAGAATCCGGTTATCTGAATGGCCAATATTAGGGTAGTCGCCACTATGCCAAATTAAGAAATTGGGGTTGTCGCGGAAGCTAGCACAACGCCAATTTAGCCATTAAGGTTTGTGAGCATGCGCAGATGTCTGTTACTCTCTATTAGTTCGTAGTAGACTGGCCGTGTAGTCAAAACGAAAAATGCCTAATGTGGCACAAACCAAGACTCTTCAGACTTCTTTGCTTTTTCAGGTTCAACTATCTTCACTAATTTGTCGTCAACTAACTTCTGGATTAGTTCGTTGTGTTTCTCGCGCTTCTCGGGTTTACGACTGTAGCTTCGTTCAATCCTCTTCATATGTGGAATCACTGATTCAACACCAGCTTTAAATCTGGTACCACTGTTGTCTCGCAACAAAGGCACTTCATATCGGTTTACTCCATCTACTTGGATTAACTGGGTGGTTTGTTCTAAATGCTTTAAGGCCATCTGGTCAAGACGAGAACGAGTTGCAGCCTTTCTATGAGGAAGTTCGTCCACTTGCCAAAGTCTACGAACATCTGATTTCAGCTGTTCTGATTCGCATACTGTGTAACACTGTAACAGAAGTTTGTGTGGATGACGTTGGTACCGGCCCATGCATGGTCCATCCGAACACTGTGTGTACAGCTGCCAGGGAGTTAGTACCGGCTTAAAGCATTGGACTTTTGTGGGTCAACAGGTGTACATTGTCAGCACCTATCATAACCAATCAATCAACTCTGGCAAAGGCACACCTTTAAGATGAAAGAAATCCCTCTTTGGGTCTTGTGTTGGATATGAATAACTCCCCAGTATCAGCATGGGGGATGAAAATGCATCATCTAAGTTGCACCTGTTGTGAGTTTCACCTCTCGCAGATATTTGTAAGTTTAAATTCCATCCAGGGATATCTGTAAACCCATCTTCCACTGTCTTCAAACAATTGTCTTTCGTGTCCTTTAGGTTTAACTAAAGCAGCATAGTTCTCATGGACCCGTTCTAATGGACCAATCATCTAATACGGCATAGTTGTCAATCAGGCTAGTTGGACTATATATAGTCAAAGGAACAATCTTTAGGAATACGTCTCTCGGTTTATACTGCTGACAAAAACTGTACAGTTGGCTGGTTGCTGTGGCTGGAAGAGAATGAGGAGTTGGTGTTAGTGTGTCATGCAATACTGTAAGGTGAATCTCTGAGCATAATTTGCAGCCCTTTCGTAGAGTGCACTCTGAGGTGCTGTGTTTTCTTGCACAGTTTCGACACTTGTTATTATGGCTTATCCAGTCGATCATCTGGCCTTGTTCAAATCTCTGAAGTTTTTGCTACCCCCAAGGAAGTGTTCAGTACTGTTGCAATATGGACAGAACATTCTAGGTAACTTCTTGCTGTCTTTAGCTTGCGTGAAGTTTATGGTTGTTGGGGATCGTTGGTTCTTTATATTAATCCTGTGTACGGGTTTATCCTTTTCTGGTTTCTTATTGGTCAGTGTTGTGCCAAATACAGGGTCGTCTTCCCTGTCCCTGGCTTTCTGGATAAAGTCGACAAGGTGTTTAAGTGTTGCAGTGGTACCTTTCGCTTTCAGTTTGAAGGTAACATCTTTCCATTTATTTCTGAGGAATAGCGGCAGAATCTGTACAATTTTGGACAATCCATCCATTGTGTCTAGTTTGGCTAGTTTCCCCAATGCTTCCAGAATGCCACAGCAATTGCCCAGATCGTCTGTGAAGTCGCTAAGGGAGTCGATGGTAACTGCATCTCTTTAATATTTTGTCACTCCAGGCTTTAGTGATTATATCAGCATCTCCAAACTTGTCTTTCAACTTCTTAAGAGCTGCTTGGTACCCTTCTGTGGCTGGCTTTAGTACACAGTACTGAATAGAGGAATAGACTGTTCCCTGACGGAGGGAAAGTAAATGCTGTAGTTTAAAGCCATCATCAGGTACCTGTGAAACTGTACTATGGAATGAAGTGATGAAGGCATGGTAGCGTAATGGGTCACCACGAAACTTCTTCGGCTGGCTTCGTGGTAAGGCGATTGCTTGCAGTAGGCCTTCCCAATTAAATGCATTCACATCCGATGAGCCACTACTAGCTGTGGATGAAGAGAAGTTAGTGACATTGTTATCATCAATCACATCATTTACATCATCGTCTATCTGATCATTATTACTTTCATTGCTATCACTAACATTATCATTTGAATTATTATTTTGAGTATTATTAGGACTTGTATCATTGTGATTACTACTAGCACTATTGCTACCATCTACAATAACAACATTATCCTTTCCACTAGAACTTAATCTGTAACTCATTAATAATTCATTTTATCTGTTCATTCTCAAATAAATATTGTTCTTGACATACTTCCATCTAGGCCTCTTCAGTGGCGTAATCTTCTTCCTTTTCCACAAGAGAAACCAGTTCTGTGTGTTCCTTCTCCACTGTTTGGAATAAATCTTCCAATAGAGCAGCCCTCTTCGTAATCTCTGGTAAATCAGGGTTTTCCTGCGAACATAGCCTCTTCAGTGCAGTGCATTGTCTGGTTAGGTTTCCCTTAGCATTGCGTCGTATAATTTTGAGTTGCTTCAGTTCAGCTGCCATATTATTTTATCCGGCTCAAGGGACCATGTCAAAAAGGGTGGCTGTTATTATGTCTCCGCCTTATGCTGTAATATTGGTTCGGATATCGGTAGAATTACTGTACACAACTGTTCCAAGTTGACACAATGGTAGTTTATTGTAGATGATGATAACACTTTATCATGTGAGGGTATGTGCTCAAGCAAGTTTATCAATACAGTAGATGAGTGATATTAAAATAAGTTCCCGTAGACTAGTAGAGTACTGTATTGCGTAGTGCGTAATGCGGTGCGTGGCGTAGTTTACACTATACTGTAGTGGTGGTGGTAGCGTGTGTGGTGGTAATGTGTGTTCATTTATCACTGTAATAAACCAGAAACGATAAAATAGTAATAAACAATATCAACATAGTAATTAAAGGCATAATATAGGCCTATCATATGAATCTTTAACATATCATATAAAATAGTAACAGAATGCACTCTCCTGATCAATTGTCGTCTCAGGTAGGCCTAACTAGTAAACAAGTGCCGTATGAGTCACGTGACCTAAACTTATCAAACGAGGGAATCTCTCGCTGCACGAATCAGCGTGAACACAAGCCTGAACAACGTCAGCTGGCCTAAAGTTGAAAGCCTATTAACACTAAGTAGACAAAATACGTTCACAACAGTAAGGTTATGCAAGTCATGATATATTACTAAAACAAGCAATACGGTTCATAACTATTACAACATACCAAAACACTGGTAATTAACGTTATTTATGTTGAAGTTGGAACGCCGGATTCCCTCATTTTACAGACAGGTTCCGAACAAGTTCGCTAGCGCGCATGCGCTGCCCGTTGAGCGCAACGACCGATGAGGGCTCAATCACCAAATAGATACTTTGCAACAGACGTATTCAATTCCCCATAATCAAGTAAGGAGAAAAGTCCCTCATGCCACTAACACTAAAACCAGAAAAAAACACATGAGGCAAAAGTCCCCGTTAGCAGAAATGGTCCATAGTGAGCTGTCTGATAGTTGAGAGGGAGCTGTCAAATGGTCCAGAGGGAGCTGTTAGCAGCTCCATAAACTTAACTTTAATTGGTTTTAAGAGTCCATTGGGAGTTAACAAGAGAGTCCTGCCAGCAACACATAGCCATTGGAATGTAAACAACAATCACTCACTTCATCTCATGGGCTTCAGTGGCAATAAATAATTTAAGAACCCTTCGCTATTCAACAAACCAGCAGGATGTATAACCCGGTTTTTTTTTTCCAAAAGCCGGGTGCCATGGACCAGTTCTGTTAATGGCCAGAAATGCAGCATGAAATCCTAGCTCCTATAACTACATGCGTAAAAAAAATTACGCAAGTTCCCCTGCGCATGCACCAGACATGTCTCATTGACACCTGGTTGTTTCTGTATTTTTTTTTTCTAATTATCATTACCAGCCTGAGCTGGTGGTGCATTAATATTACCTTGATTAAGGCCAGGTAAAGGGGACGACGATTTCTTTGAACTTTTACCCGTCGCCATAACTGAATAACAATAGGATATCCAGCGAGCCAATGCTTAGCTAGAGATACGAACAACAGTAACGGAGTACTTATTCACGTTCACCGAGCGTAGGCCTACACAGATTATACGTACGTTGACCGGCGAAGTAAAACAACTAATATGGGTGAATACACGAAACAAAGTAAGTTTAGGACTTAGAAGCAAATAATCAGCATGCATATATATACCACAGGCTTATTAAAATTAGAACAAATACTGTGGTCTATTTGAAAAATTGATACATGAAAAGATAATAATAATAATAATATGTCGTTCTTATGTAGCGCTTTACAAGGCCTCTAAGCGCTTCACATTACTACCCCGGTCATTGGATCAAACACATATGGAACACATTGAAACACCAAATTAAATTAGTAAATGCAATTATATTATCATTCCATAAATTGCAGCTAGTAATCAGCGCAGGTTGAACCTACCAGGTACCCACTTGTACTCCTGGGTGGAGAGAGGCAACCGTAGATAAAGTGCCTTGCCCAAGGACACAAACGATTTGCACAGCCAGAGTTTCGAACCCCCGACCTCAGGGCTGGGAGTCCAAGCCACAACCGGTGCGCCAACCGCTCCTGCACAGCTGCTGCTGATGATGATATTGATGAAAGATGTGGCACGATCGACGATGGAAGATAGGACAAAAGAAAGGGGCGGGGGCTAATTTTTTTTTAATTATATTTTTTGCTGGCCTAGGCCCTAATGTGTAGGATTCTGTGTAGGCCTAGAGATTTCAAAAACTGCATTGGTGCCAAGCCAAATCTTTTACAAGGCTATAACAGACACTAAATTTTACATAAAAGATTTGTTTGTACAATATTTATTTTAATAAGCATTGTGGTTCCGTAGGCTAACTGCTGCAGTGCTAGTTAACAATTTATAATTTTAAACTAGGTATAAAAAAGTCAATCTTTTTTATTTTAACAATAATTTGAAAACCGAAAGGTCCAGATTAATCTCAGATAAGAAAGTTTAATATACTCCAAGTATTTATAATTTAGACGGTATATTTGCAATACTTTTTTCCCTATATTTTCCTCTAGTCTCCAGACATCTCCTGCCATAAATATTACGTTATAATACTGTTAACTCCTTCCCATTCACATAGATCATAAAAGGATGTTTCTGTAAAAAGAAAATACTGTAATACAAATTGATGCTAAAATAAACTGTATTACAATTAGTCAAAAAGTAGTAAAATAAAAATGACTGTTTTCGTGCTTAATTAAACGGCAGACCTAGGCCTATACTGCTTAGGATATCTTATTATACATTCGCGGTCACGCCTTCGGCGCTCCATACACCGCGACCGAAATGCATAACCAAAATAGCGCGACCGAAATGATCGGATACCCGATCAAATTGTTCGCGATTTCTGTCAACAAGCACATGTGTGAGGGGAATCTATTATTTTCTGCAGAAAAAGAAAACACACTTGGTGGCGCACTTCACATCTTGTTCCCTGTGCTAAAGATGAAAAAAGATCGTTTTCCTCTATTATCGGCATTTTTTAGTCGATTTTCAGCACTTTTTTACCAAAAAAAAGAGAGGTGGCTAGAAAATCAGGGTGACGCTAAACAAGTATTTTTATTTTTTGGTGTGGTGTTCTTACTGTTGTCCTGTGTGACAATACCGACGTTGAGGGCAGGAGTTGCCACAGAGAGAGAACCGCGAGGAAAGAATTAAATTCTGTTCTATGAGTTATACTGTTGTATTATATTGTCTTTATTGCTAGCTTACAAGGACTCAACACCATACAAAGATGGGGGATATGGTGACAGTTCGTATTTCATTACCATTTACAAGTTCTAAATTTTGCTACAAGTCATTACAATGACAAGCACACAAATCGAGGCACCCGTGCAGTTTCTGCCTACGCCGGGAGACCCTGTCATACCGTGGTTGCAGTGGAGGCGATTATTCGAAAATTACCTACTCGCTTTGAATACAGTGAAGGAATCGCCGGAGCGTAGAAGAGCTATACTTTTACACTCGCTAGGTCTGGAAGGCCAACGAATTTTTTACACGTTACCAGAACTAGGAGAAGCAGGTGACGATATATTTACAAAGGCAATGACAACATTGCAGAGTCATTTTGCACCAAAGGTTAGTGTGGTGGCTGAGAGATATAGATTTCGTCAGCGTGCACAGCTCCCGCACGAATCAGTCGACAATTACATTGCAGCGCTCCGCGAACTGGCTTCACGATGCAAATTTGGTACGTTTGAGGACGAAATGCTACGAGATCAACTTGTAGAGAAGACTAATAGTTCCAAAATACGAACTAGATTACTTACAGAAACCGATGTCAAGCTGGACAAGGCCATTAAACTAGCGAGGCAGTGTGAAACTGCGATGAAAGAGGCCAAGTCTATGGGCGGAGGTGATACTCATACATGCTCTGAGGTGAAATACAAAGCTAAGTCTAGAGGTGCTAAAGCTGAATTTAAGAAGGAGAAACAGAGGCCCAGGCCAAATAGCAATGCCAAGTGTTATCGCTGTGGTTCACCTCAACATTTAGCAAATTCGCCAGAATGTACTGCAAGGTCAAAGGACTGCAACTCTTGTGGAAAAAAGGGACATCTGTCTAGTGTTTGCCGTGGTAAAAGGAAAGTTGTTAAGCAGGTTGAACACGCTAGGTGAGACTGATCAAGATGGCGACATGATTGAAGTATTGTGTACACGGTCAAGCAACACTGATTCAAGGAAAAGTGTATGGGAAACTCTTAAATTAAACTCTATAAATATTCAAATGCTTGTTGATACAGCATCTGATGTATCCTTACTTTCACTTAAATTATTTGATAAATATTTTGTTAGAGTTGCATTGGAACCATGTATAATGCCTATAACTAGCTATACATCTCATAAGATAACAACAGTAGGATATTTTAAAGCTAAAGTTCAGTTTAAATCTAAATGTGCAAATGCAACATTTTATGTAGTAACTAAAGGAAGTAGCCTAATAGGCAAGGATCTAATCCAAGCCCTTATACACATCTAGATGTGTATAAGAGACAGGTCTAATTCAGTCGGCTTGCCAGATAGTAAAAAAAAAAAACTCCATGCATTCTTATCATTTATTACATATGATGGTATATTATAAATATAATTTAATTAAATAATTTAACAAAATAGTACAAGTAACGAATAAGTTAATTGAAATACGCCGCAAACC